CTGGATGGGGCTTTGGGCAACCTGGTGTAGTGGAGGGTGTCCCTGCCCATGGCAGAGGGGTTGGAACTGGATGATCTTTAAGGTCCCTTCCAGCCCAAGTTGAGGTCCAGGTACCCCGATGTTACACCAAACACTGTGTCCTTACTCACCGTTCTCCATCCCCATCACCTACCTGCAAATTTACAACATCGAAACACAGCCTCTCTTTTTTTTTTGCTGCTTGGATCTTCTGCCAATACCTGAGATTTTGAGGTCTGAGGTGATGCTGGTTTGAAATGCTCCAGGATCCTTCTTCGAAAGGCATCTGATACCCACTGCAGCTCTGCGAAGTGTCGGCTCGGCCAACAAAACCCACGGGATGGTGTCCATTCCCACCAGCTGAGAGACATGTTTAAATCCAAATGAACTGATACCACACACCCACTGGCAAATGATTGTCACCACTTTCAGTGTGCCTGTGCCACCACGGATTAGCCAGCAAACAATTGGTATTATATGATAAAATTCAAATGCAATTACTGTCTTGTCACTATGGTTTCCCTCTGAGCTTCTACTAGATAAAAGTTCACATATTTTCTTGGCATTCAAACAAAAATAGTTCTGAAATAGTGGTGCAATTATTTTCCTAATAAAGTTACCTCTGAAGCAAGTGTCACAGGCTCAGCCCGTTTTCTCAGCTGCTTTTCGGCCCTTTGAAGCGCTTTGTTATCCAAAATAATAAACTGCCGAGAGGAACTCTTTCACTTACCTGATCTCACTAACACCAGATTGTAACACTAAACATCATTCCTGACATTTTCCACTTTAAAGACATAAACGGAACTAAATCCAGACAGCTCAGACCATCTTTAGTGTTTCCCTGTAAGGGGCAGGAGAGATGTTCCTCTTCAGATCCGCTGAGTTGGTCTTGGCAAACACACGCTCACACGGAGACGCCTCAAAGTTTTATGCTTTCAAGCATCCTTTATTTACACAGGATCCTAAAGCTGGACGAGTTTGCTTCATATACAGAGTGGAAAACAGACGACACCGCAGTTGAAATTTTTAAATGCAGTTCCAAAGTCTGCGAGATACAATCTAGATTTAACCCATGAAGTAACACTTCAGAGTTACAAACTGGAGAGTAACTGAGCAATGTCTTTCCCAGCTTCTCTGAGCACTCTGTGATCACCACTTTCAACTCCCCTTCTACCTCTTTTCACTCCTCTTTCGCATCATCATGATTAACACGAGATTAATTTACAGTGCATTCTTAGTTTTATTTCCCTCTCCTTTGTGTGGCTGTGCAAGGAATGGTTTTGTTCCTGTTGGTATCGTGTCCTTGCTGTTGTCGAACAGATTATCATTTAATTTGTATTTAGAAATAGCACTGCTCTCGCCAAAGGTCACTACCTCTTTTCACTCCTCTTTCGCATCATCATGATTAACACGAGATTAATTTACAGTGCATTCTTAGTTTTATTTCCCTCTCCTTTGTGTGGCTGTGCAAGGAATGGTTTTGTTCCTGTTGGTATCGTGTCCTTGCTGTTGTCGAACAGATTATCATTTAATTTGTATTTAGAAATAGCACTGCTCTCGCCAAAGGTCAGCCCTCTGTCCTCTGCACTGGCTGCCCACCGAATTTACCTCAAATTCAGCCAAACTCAGCGGCTAATGACAAGGGTGGGGGGGCAAGAGCAGGCAAGTTTGCAGATAACCTGCGATAACGCTTTCCCCACCTCCTGGTCGCAATCTGGAGCGAGCACTGACGAGAGATGAAATGCTGCTGGTGGTGGACAACGGACTGGATTTGCCAACATCAGGGTTTGCAACGTTCAGCTGTAACAGCTTTGCAGCTCGCATCTGCATCACACAGGTGTCAGCACAATTTTTTACTATTTACCTTCGTTATTTGGGAGGGCACTTTTTAAAATTTACTACTGCCACGAACAAGGCAATAGCCTGAAAGTCGACACAAGGAACTATCCAAATGCCCTTGCTTTACGCTAAGCTCAACATCGGCTTTTCACTTTGATTTTAATACCAACATTTTCTATTGCTGAATTGTGTAAGACACACAAACTCTGCATCCAGTGAGCGGGTCGTTTTGACCTAGCAATACTAAAACCAGCATGACTAATAGCAAATTAATACGGTTTTGGACACAAGTCAGGAGGGCATTTTGATGTTACGTGTTGATACAAACATTTACAGACTTTATAACATGACAAATAGCAAAAGCACACAAGGAGCGGCCCACTCAAGTGAAAAACTTTTGTCATCGCAGGGGAAGATTAACCTTTACCATAAAAATGATTCCAAAATTGTACTTGAAAAAAAAACAGGCGGAACTTTGTTCTGTTTGAAAACTGGTCGCCCTCATCCACAAAACCAAATTGAAGTGAATACAACTACAATAAATTACTTCTAGAGTATCCAAAAACATTTACGGAGTTAAAAGATGCTTGAATTTGAATATGAAAACAATTTGAAGCCCGTGTCTAAAAAACTCTTTTATTGATTCATGAGAATAATTGCCTCTAAACCCAGCTTTGAGTTTGGTTCAGCTTGACAGAGATCCACCTAAAAACGTTACAGCATTAGCTCAGACACACCTGTACCCCCAGAATTTGAATGGTTACTGGTAAGTAACTGAGAGTTCCCCCTTCAGTACGAGTCACAACGCTGAATCCCCGGATCAGGGAAACTTTTGGCAAAAAAAAACAGTTTAGAGGCAAGGCGTATTTACTTACAGTCGAGAATTCTTGAATCTGGAACAAATAAGCTCTCAAGGCATACAAGCCCACGCTGACCTGCTGAAGAAGGCACAGATCTTTCCTCAAATGACCGGCCTCTTTTCAGCATTTTCTGGGGAGAATGCCATTCTCCAGTGCATCAAAACTAGTAGACTCCAAGTGTCAATTTGGCTACCAATTCCTTGTCCTGTCTAGAAAACAAATCGCTACAGCAAAATAGGCTTAACAGCAGCCTTTATTTTCAACAGTAATCTTTTGTCCCGGTGGACACAATTTTCAAATGGAAAAGAAAAAAAAAAGTTTTCTGGGCAGCAACAGGACATTCTTCTTCCCTGCTTTTTCTCTCTCTCTCTTGCATGAGGCAGAGCCCTCCCCCGCGAATTCGACATTTGATCCACACTGGCTCCATATGGGACCAGCTCAGCCGCCTGTGCTTCATGCTCCAGGAATTACAAACACTTCTAGAAATGCACGAAAGTCACCTGAGATGACTCAATATACAATGTCAACAGTTGAACTTACTAAGTTGTGGACATGGCATTGTTGGCTCCAGAGGGAGAATTTCTTCTCTACCTTCTTGCCCAGCAAACTCTGTTTGACAGGCTTATTATGGTTTGTGCAAGTAGACGGACACAGGTTGCCTTGAGGACTATACTTGATGTGCTCTGCCTTCCACAAGCAGGCTGAACCCTGAATAGCTTTGTGGTAGCTAAGCAGAAACCAGAAATAATAGAAATACAGCAAGCAAGAACAAAAGCAAGGACACTCTCCCACCCACACCCAAAACCACTCCAAAATCCAACCAATACATGGATGAGTCCACCTAATTCTTCCCCAATTTCCCCCATTCCTTGCTTTGGCTGTGAACTTGCTCTGAGTTCTTGCAGGAAGGGCAGTTCCAAGGCACCATGCCAAGCATTTGTGCACCAGGCAGCACGGCACAACCATGTAAGGGCTCCCACAGAAACTACTGAGTCTCAAGCGTTCACAACCCAATCTAATCCGACTGCACGCGTTACGCGTGTGTCGGAGACCACCCATTGTCTAGGCTCAGCTCAGTAACACCTCAGCCACTGGAAAGCTGACAGGGATCCGAGGCAAACGACCAAATACAATGGCATTGTACTTAAACAGATTAAAGACACAAAGTCGGTTATTTCTTAAACTCGAGTTTTTCAAGAGTTGGTCTTGAAAACAGGCATTATTTTGCCACAAAAGGCTACGTTACAATCAAAATCTTAACTAAAATCAAGACATCTGAACGTATTAGACTATAATTATTACAGAACAGAACACCCAAGCCTTGCATTCGACCTAGCTTCTTCATGAACAACCTTCTTTATGGTACTAAAGTATCGATTTAAAAAACAGTTCCACGGTCATAACATAAAACGTGTAATTAGGAAAAATATAGATGTACTGTCTTACTTCCTTAGGACAATTTTATTCCAGTACTTTTTTCCTCTGGACAGAGGAAGCTATTGTGACTGAGCACACAACAGCTCTTTCAGAACAGAAAAAGTTACCAGCACGCAGAGAAGCTGCATGGAGAACAGGGGCTCCATGCGACGTCCAGAGCCCGCTGAGGAACACACAGCTTTTGTGTGCTGGGATCAGAGAGCACGACCGTCTGGGCAGCTTCCAGCTAACGAGCCAGCGCTGTCCTGCGCGCCAACCTGCACTACTGATAAAAAAAGGCCTATTATACATCTGTCTCAGTAGTGCCTGATGTTACTGCTTTAGCAATGTGCCCTGTTTTATGATTATTTCAGGTTTCGTACTTTAACACCACACTTATTTCTATGGGCACAACTGGCATCGCTACGTACTACATGAAGGGGCAATGGCTTTAAACTGAAAGAGGGGAGATTTAGATTGGATCTAAGGAAGAAATTCTTCCCTCTGAGGGTGATGAGGCACTGGAACTGGTTGCCCAGAGAAGCTGTGGCTGCCCCATCCCTGGAAGTGTTCAAGGCCAGGTTGGATGAGGCTTTGGGCAACCTGGTGTAGTGGAGGGTGTCCCTGCCCATGGCAGGGGGGTTGGAACTGGATGATCTTTGAGGTCCCTTCCAACCCAAACCGTTCTGTGATTCTATGATAAATGCTTTTCTCGCTTTCTTATGTAATGTTAAGATTTAAAGGATAATGGCACTAAAGTGACACTTTTTACATAGTTTTTAATTCCTTCTTCCAACTTTTTACAAGATTCGCTATTGCAGAAGCCAAAAGGTGTAGGATTAAAAGAAGTCTTCACATAAAAGCTCTAAGGATTGATATTTAATGAACTGTGAGATGTAAATCAATGCACAACAGCACAGTTTAAGCTTAAAATACTAGGATAACATTTATATTAAAAATAATTCACCTACAGATAATACAGTCTAGTGTTTATTGTATGTTATGGAAGGTACACTTGAATTTCAAAAATTTAAAACATATAAAAAGTGGTTAAGGGCTAACATTTTATCAACATGTGATAAATGTGTAAGAATGTTTATTATACAGCAGGGTACAATGGTAGTGTTAATGCCAACAGGGCACCACAGAAGTTAGTTTAAAAAAAATTTCCACTATGCTTTATACAAACAACACCACTTGCTGTTGTTGAAGAGTATCGGGAGAAGATCGCTGTCTGAAGGATAAGCAGTCCTATAACATTTTTAATGTTAGATAGTGTCATAGTACGCAGGTCGGTGAATGTTTCAAAATAAAACTAGTAATGCTGTAATTACTTCACAGAAATGCACATCCAATATTTGTTTTCAATAAGAACAATAGGTACAAGATTATAACTCTCCCTATAGGAAATAATTTACACACAGATGAAAGCTACACTATCTAAAATAATCACTAAATACATTTTTCCTCTGGGAAATAAACAAGCAATTTTTGTTTTGCATGATCAATATCAAAAAACATATAGCAGAAGTAGTATTTTTTAAACATAACTGATGCTCTAAAGTAAAAAAAAAAAAAGGAAGAAATGAGAAAAAAAGATTTTCCATGAATGTGCAACCTAAAATCAACCAAGCTTATATTGTAGTACAACCATATTAAGAAACCACTGATCAGAAATACAACTTTATGGAAAAAGTTTATAATCCACAAAACTGTTCATCAGGCCATAAAGTAAAAGAGCTCCACAGTTTACAGATAAAACTGAGGCCACACAGACGCGTGCTATGTCTTATCTCCAGTAAGGAGATGTCTTATCTCCAGTAAGTAGCTACTCAGGCGGAGGATGTGACGCTTTGTTTGTAGACAGCATGGTACGCGTTTCTCAGCAGGACGTAAGGGAAACAAGACTCCAAGAGATCCATGGTCAGGAACGGAGACTCCTGCACAATCTGAAAAATACCAGAAACACAAGGTTTTGCAGAACACCTCCTGCTGCCTGCTGCTGCTAATCTATCTCGTGGAGATACTTCTGGTCGGCACCACACCACCGCTCACGTATTTCACAGCAAAAAGAAAACACCAAGTTTAAACGTTGGGGAGAAACTCTTTGCTATAAACCCACCACTTCTCAAGGCCAGTCATCTTACTTTGCTATATAGTCATACAGCACTCCTGCCATTTCCAAAAGAGAAAGGAGAAACCTCTGAGCAGAGAAGACTTTCTCCCCCACACTCTGAACAGTGCTTCTTTAATGTGAAACTTCATTTTGCTATTGTGTGTACTAAAGGAACAACGAAAACGATCTGAACAATGTGATACGATGTTTGAGGCAACAAAGGGCGATGGTGAAAATTGCTGGAGGAATGAAAAACATTAATTCCTGACATTAGAATGCCAGGAGGAATGATGTAAAAAGTGATTTCCACTCGTTCATGAGCTACAACAGCCAAGGTGACACCCAAACCCCCCACTGCTGAACGATGCACTACGGAGCCTGCTCCCTAAGTCAGTAACACAGATCAAACACACACTTACCATGTCGAGTAGCAGGTACACAGATTCTCTGTTCCTTGTAGTAGTTTTGTCCGTCTCCTGGCCAATCTTCAGTAGACTAGACGATGCAAGCTACATAAAATGAGCATTTCAAAGCAATAAATAAAACAATGCCTTGACCAGCTTCTGCTATTTCCTTCCACTCCGCCCCCCCCGCCCCCTCCTTCTCAAGGAATCAACTCGCGAGCCGACGGACACTGCGTGTGCTAATAACGACACGGGAAAGGAAGGGATCCTGAGCGACCGAACCATCACCGGGCCTCGGTCTCAGTGAGCCATTTCTGTGTATTTCTAGTAGTGTTTAATAAGTGATGTGCTATTTTAATACAAAAAGTGATTAACTTATTGCAAAGAAATTCCTGTTGTAATCACTGGTTGAGCGTTATAAAGTCTACTGAAATTAACAGCACAACTCTCACGGGATCAAGATCTCACTTCCTCTGCCCTTCCCAACAGGCAGATAAACCAAGTGCATTTTTGTAAGACTTAACGTGAAGTTTTTATTGTTTGAAGTTATATCCATTTTGCAACAGAAGGACAAATTAGGTTTTACATCCTAAGCTATATTTAACTGAAAAAATGTCATCCTACGTGTAAATTCTATCAGACCATGAGCAACCCTACAATATTAGTTTTAAAAGATATCCTAGAAACTTGTAACACATACTTAGGTATTTACAAGCTCAGGATGACAGAATACAGTAAAATACTTAATTTGCAGGTACATTGATAACCCATGTTTTCATGCCTTATGGAAATTTGGAAAAAAGACCCCTCTTTCTCAACTTTCAGATGTACAAACATCATTTATGCCCTCACACCAAGCAATGGCGATGTGCCTAAATCACATGTTTACTAGAAATGGATTTTAACTTAAAATATTAACTTTGTTCAAGAGGAATATTGATTTAGATTTTCAATTCCGTCATGAATCAATTTGTACTATCAAGTGAATACGCATGCTTCAAAAGAATCTTAGCATATACTCATCAATATTAAATAACCTAGTTAAGTTTTTTTTCCATATTTAATTAACTTCAACAGGAAAGCAGATCATCTCCAGCAGTACATTTTCTTCTTGAGAAAAATGTTTTTCTTTCAGACTAACAGTAAGTGATATATAAAAGGTGTTAGAAAAAAAGAAAGATTAACAAAATATCTGAACCATCAAGTCATGGTCTGTGCAGTAAAAGCAGTGGTCTGAAACCAGTTTGTTAACACTGAAAAAATGCAAACCTCATACCAAAAGTGTTTTTATCACATGAAACTATACTGGTTTGCTTCACTTGTCAAATGTATGCAACTTGACACAACCATTTCTCTTTCATCTTTTACAGCCAGCAGTTGCATTAGACAAGGTCAATGGCCAAAGGTTTTTTTTTT